TAATAGTCTAGAAATATGTATTAATGCTTCTTTTATCATTTTACAAAATATCAATGCATATTTCCACATATTTCATAATATTTCCACAATGTCTCTAATTTTTACAATATTTCCCCTCGACATTTCCGACATTTCCGACATATGTCCTATATTTTGGTAAGCAACATTTCCATCGACATCAACATTTTAAACCTTGGAAATGAACTTTATTTGAAGGATCCTAGAAATAGCTCTAATAAGACATAAAACAAGGGAAAATAGAGTAAGATGGTTTAGTCAAGACCAGAGAAGACCATTTACAGCATTGTGAAGAGAAGTGATCTGTTACAAGTTAAAGAGTCGGACACTAGGGACAGACCAAAAGGGAAACAGGTTGAAGTAGCGAAAAATGATTTGAGGACCCATAACAATAGATAAGGTACTACAGAGTAGTGATTTAGAAGGCGTGTCTAGGTGCACAGGCAAGGCGCATTTTAGGGCATGTGCCTAGCCCAGGTTCTAGGTGCACCCCTTTCAAAAGGCACATGCCTGGTGCGCCTAGGCATGCGCCTGATGTGCCTTGTGCCTCACCCCAAGCATGCGCCTTTTTAAAATTCTGTGCTTTTTTCCTTTTTTTGAGCTTAATTACTAGGCCGGGGGATTTGCCTCTGGACCCCCGACCACGCCCCTCGAGGCAAGCCCAAACAAGTTCATTATTCTTCTTAAAAGGCAGGCTTCGAGAACCCCCTATTTGCTAATATTATTCATTCATTCATTCCAATAAAATATCTTCTTAAAAGGCAATTAACGTTATAAAATCATTATTCTTTATGTGGGAAATAAGAATTTAAGACCCTAACATGGACTTGTTCGGGCTTGCCTCAAGGGGCGTGGTACAATGGCGACTCATAGAATCAAGAATGCAATATGTTTTACATCACATTAGCCAATTGAAGTAATGCAAGTGAAGGAAAAAAGAGATTGTGGGCTTTACATGCTTGAAAATGCTTTATATGTTTGCTTTTATTTTTAAATTTTCATTTGAATGTGCTTTACATGTTATGTTTATGTATTTCAATTTTAGATAATAGGTTTTTTAAAACATTTATTTTAAAATTTAAGTTTATATTTTTTATTAACATTATATTTAATATTTTTTGAATTTTTGCATTTTTAAAATTTTTGGCCTTGCGCTTTTAATTTTTTTATTTTTTTTTAAATTGGAAAGAAAGAATTTTCTTCTCAAAAGATCTCATTTCTTTTCCATGGTGCCACTACCACCATACTGCAGATTGTAGAGGTGACTAACCAATAAAGGATATTCTCATTATCATTTATTTTGTGAAGTTCATTTCCTTTGAATCTGATATTATTTTTCAAATGGTGCACATGTTGTGTTGTGCCCTCTTGGAACAAGCAATACACTTTTTTTGATGAATAACTAGCAATACACATCTTGGAAGCTTTCTTAGCTACAAGCTAATTTTGGCTCATCTAGATTCTAGAGACTAGAGGTTAGATATTGAATAATTTTATAGATCTATGGAGTTGCATAATCATTGTGTATTTTAGCTTTATATGCCTCCCAATAGAAGCAATAAAGCAGTTGTGAGTCTTTTCAGGGGGGAGGGGGGGAGGCAAGCCTAAGACCGTCCCCTTGATCAATTTTGAAAAAAAAAAAACTTAGAAAAAAATGTTGTAGGCTATCAACACACTCAATATAAAAGCTCATGCATATCAGGTGTATTGATACTTTGAACCTTGATCATAGATCATAACCGTGGCAGTGCTGCTGCATCAGTCATTTACATTAAATATGACAAACAACCTCCTTTTTCATACAGTTGTTGAGTTTGTTCTTAAAAAAAGCTGTTAATATGAATAATGGGGGAGGGGAGAGAAAAGAAAACAAGGAAAAATTGAGGCATTCAAGAAGAGAACATAGAGGGATGGAACTTTTGACATTATAATTCCCGCACCCAAAACAATAGCACCTTTTCTAACAGCCAAGACAGAAAATTTATTGTAATACATAAGTCATTACATCTGAAATATATAAGTCATTAATTTGGTCTGCAGTCTGCACTATAGAAAATTTGAATGGAACAATGGTACAGCTCCATAATTTCCTCTTTTATTTATAATAATAGAACAATGGAAATAGGCCCATTCTGGACAAAGTATTTATATGCTTAATGCTGCAATGTCATTACCGAGATGCATATATCTTGGACAAAATCTAGTTTTAGTTGGTTAAGATCAGAGAACTATTTTTCTGACTCTGACAAAACAGGGAGTAAACAGACAACAATTATATTGAGATCCGTATCCATTTGGGACAGAAATCTTATAAACAAATTCTTGGAAGTAGGTAATTTGGATAAGTTAGGGGACTAACTCTAATTTTCCTTTTTTCGTGGGGAAGATGTTAGTATTTCTTTGTAATTTTGTTCTTTCTTACTTCTTATAAAGTTTCATTGTTACCAATCAAAAACAAGACAAAAGTCTAGTAGTTATTGAACTTCATACCAACTAGTGGATATTAACCTTTTCAAATGGTGCCCACTTTTCAACATATAAGCCTCGACTATATCCTCCAAGAGCTGCAATAAAGTAGAACATAGAAAATCAGAAGAAACATTTAAAGCTTTGGCAATTGAAGCTTCTCCCAATCTCAAGTGTAGGAAAATTTAAATTGACATACAACAATACAGAACAGAAGGCCACAATACTGCAAGGTAGATCAAGGAAAATGGTACCAATAAATTAAACTGTAGTCTATTATAGAATTTAAGTCTATAATACTGAAATATATGATCAAGGAAAGTCATTCTGTGATATAATTATGATCCGAGGAATGCACTCGGATCTGCTACCCATAAGCTGTTCCCACATCCCAACCCACTTAACATTACAGCTGCACATTGGGAATATCTCCCTTGTCATTCACGAGGAGATGTTCCCGACACAGGCTGGTGGTGTTCTCTGGGTGGGATGTAGGAACAGTTTGTGGGTAGCAGATCTGGAGTGCCCAGGAATATATATACCCATAAAAGGTGCCCTATGAATTAAGATCTTCATAAGCTCTACTTTATAGATGCTACATGTTACAGCCTTGGTTCTTATCTCAAAGCCATACACAATCACCATACAGATCAAGTGCACTGGTCATGACTACTTACGAAAAAATAACAGTAGTAACAACAATGATGATGATAAAGACATTAACAGTGATAATGAAAAATACATATATATATATATATATGAAAAGTTTTTGGAATAAAAATCCTGGGCCCTTTTATATTTTCCAATTTCCACTCATTTGAAGAGGTTGTTTCAGTAACACACAACCTATAGGACATGTTTTAGTAAATATGTGAAAAAATAGGGTGTCCCAAGTAAATGACCCTCTTTAAAGGGTTTTTAAAGGGCTGGCTGTCTGTCCATAATGTATTTAGCAATGATACTTTTTCTTCTACTTTTTTTGAGGGTGGATTTTTTTGGGGGTCCCTAATAGGATATCATGTATAGCTTCTTATTGCACAGAGCACCATACTTTTGATATCAATACAACATACAATACTTTACCTTTCTCAAAAAAAAAAAAAGACGAAAACAAAGAAAATGCTAGATTAATAGAGAAAAAGCATCATGGCCCTATGTTTAAAAATAAAGCAAATATACAAAAATATGATAATTACTGTAGGATAAACTTGTAACTTTGTAAGTGACACTATCAAACCTTGGCAGAGAGTAATTGAGTGGAGATTAGGACAAGAAACAAGTATATAAAAAGGCCAATTTGGTTTTAGTCCAAGGAGATCAACAAGGGAAATGATCCTTTTACTTATATGATTGATAAAGAAAATTAAGGAAAAGAAGAGAGATCTTCACGTGGTATTTACTAATCCAAATAAAGCACATGATAGAGTTCCTAGAATGATAATAAGGTGGATTTTGAAAAGGAAAGAATCAAAGAAATACCACATAGATATTTGAACTTAATTAAGATTGTATTTAAGGTGCAACAGCCAATGCAAGAAAACCTGTGGGAGAGACATGAAAGTTTCTGTGAGACTTCACCAACACAATAGTGTTTCTAGTTGCAATATGACTTCTCCAAGACTTATGCCTTATTTCTTTTGCTTGCACACTAGTCAGGATGAATTAACTACACATATTCAAGAGAATGTCCCATAGGGGACTACACATATTCCCCTAGGTGCAAATCCAAAGGAAAGGTTTTGGAACCCAGTGGTAGAGAAGTTTGAAAAAAGACTAGTGACTTGGAAAAAGAACTATATCTCTTTGGGGGGTAGAATAACTTTGATTAGGGCCACACTCGCAAACTTACCCATCTACCTTTTGTCTGTTTTTAGGATACCTGTTAGGGAAGCCAAGAAGATAGAAAAGTTGATGAGGGATTTTTTGTGGGAGCCAAGTGTAGAGAAAAATGATCATTTGATTAGATGGGAGGTGGTGAGTCGAAAAAAGGAACAAGGGGGCTTAGGGTTAGGGTTAGGGAACCTAGTAAATAAGAATGAAGCTCTTTTGGGCAAGTGGTTATGGAGGTGGCCTTTGGAAAGAGAGAGATTGTGGCACATGGTGGTGGCTAGTATCCATGGCTGTTCTGAATCTGGTTGGGATGCCGAGGTATCTCGACAAGCCACACTCACTACACCTTGGAAGGTAATTTCTGGCATCCTCCCAAAATTTCTCAAGTTTGTAAGGTATGATGTCTGCAATGGTAATTCTGTGCTTTTTTGGGAAGATGTTTGGGTGGGCAATCAACCATTAAAAGACCTCTATCCCTCCCTTTTTTTCTATTTCCCTCTATAAAAAGGAGCTTGTTTCGAGGTTTCTTCCCCCCCCCCCAATTCTCCAATTGTCTCTTAACTGGGATTTTGGGTTCTATAGAGGGTTGAGGGATGAGGAATCGGCTCCTGCCTCTGAGCTCTTACTTTTACTTGATTTTGTTTGTTTGGACCCTCCTAAACCAGATAGAAGAAATTGGTCTTTGACCTCGAGTGGCTCCTTCTCTTGTTCTTCCTTCTTTAAGTCCCTATGCTCTACTCCTTCCCCTTTGTTGTTCCCAATTAAAGAAGTCTAATCAAGGCCAATTCCACCTAAAATTGCTGGTTTTTGTTAGGAAGTGTATTATGGTAAAATTAATACTATGGACAATGTACAAAAAAAGAGACCTTATTCATGCTTGTCCCCCAATTGGTGCATTTTATGTAAAATGCAGAATGAGGACTGTTATCACCTACTGATTTCTTGCTTTTTTACAATAAATATTTGGAATTGGGTTTTTATGCTGTTTGGGTATAGGTGGAACCTGTCTCCTGAGGTAAATCGGCTTTTTGATCTGTCTTTTTTTGGTTGGCCAACAAAGAGAGGGAAAGTAATTTGAAAATGTATTAGGGCAGCCCTCTTATGGACCATTTGGGAGGAAAGAAATGCTACAATTTTCCAGGAGGAGAGAAGTATTGCTGAAATAAAGGATTGTATACTGGCAAAGGAAATCCTTTGGAAACTACTAATCTCTTTGCGGATTACTCTAATAATGACCTTCGAAGGAGTTGGGCAGCAGCAGCCTCCACCTCATCCAAGAAAAATAGAACACAAGCAAGTCAGTTACCCCCTCCGAAAGGAGTTGTAAAGTTGAACTTTGATGGAAGCAGTCAAGGCAATCCAGGACCTTCAGGTATAGGAGGGATCTTGAGGAATAAGGATGGCAACATTCTGTCCTTATTCTCAGGTCCAGTGGGTTATGGAGACTCTACAAGGGCTGAGATATTAGCTGTGGTACAAGGACTACAGATTTCCAACCTACTTGGAGTGACTAATTTGATAGTTGAAGGAGACTCTAAGGTGATAGTGGGATGGATGTCGGACCCAGAAACTATTGTTTGGGGATATAGGGAGATCATCAAAAAAGTCAAATGGCTTACGAGAACCATGTCAATTAGATTTCAGTGGGTTAGTAGATCGACAAATGCTTTGGCAGATTCTTTAACTAAACAAGGGGCTTCAATTGATTCTCTGTTTTTGGCTATTTTGTAACTGTAATCTGGAAAGAGTTGGGTTTGAAACCACCTTTAAGGGGAGGTAACACCTCGTGCCTCCTCTTATAGTGCTTCATGCTTGTACTATTTCTATCTCTATTTAATAAAATACCATCCATTCATAAAAAAAAAAAGAAAAAAAAAACCTTAGATTTATTAAAAAATTAAAACTATGTAAAACTTAGAAAAGTGATTTCATCCCATTTTTACTCCATATCTACCACTTATGTATGTAAATAAAGTAGAATTTTCCACTAATACACTAGAAGCATAAGATGGTATGGTCAAGTTTGATCTTGAAAGTCAATCTATATGGGTCTTAACTCTTAAATAACCTAAACAAATCTTACTACCAACAGGAGTTTAAAACAAAAGACTATTAAAAAATCAAAACAAACAATTGGCAGTATTACAAGGGCTGAGTCCAGCAAAACAATTGAATATGCAGAAGATTATCATTGAAGGTGACTCAAGGGTGGTAGTCAGTTGGAAAATACATCCTGATTAGGCTATGTGGTGTTAGACAAGTGGATTAAAAGATTGGCAAACAGTTTGGCTGATGCCTTAGCCAAACAAGGGGTGAATAGGGATCATACCTTTTAGGCTCAATTGTAATGTATCTTTATTCTTGGAGATTAGTGGAAGATTCTAGCCTATATTCAGGTTTGTATATATCCTGTGCATATATTTATTCGTTGATTACTTTTATAAATTTCAGTTGTCTATAAGAAAAAAAAGAATCATAACAAACAAAGAAATGACAAAGTAGAAAACTAGGACCCTATCAAATACATCCCAATCACGTAATTAGATAAATTGTAATATTCATTAATCATTAATTGAAATGTTACATTTAAACAATAATAGTATGATTTTTTCAGAAAAGATTGAGATTTAAGACTCAATTGGAATCCTTTCGATTGATGATTCAAATCAAGAAATCTTAAAGCATAAGAGCAGCTATTATTTGGTCGGTTTGGGAGGAGAGGAATAATAGGATCTTTCAAGGGCAAGAAAAATCCAAGGAAACACTTTGAGGGCATTACAATCAAAATCATTCACTGGCTGAAAGTCTGGCATCTTTTCAAGGATTTCTCTTATGATGACTCCATTAGAGGTTGGAGGGCTATAGCTACGCCTTCTTCCTCTCCTCCTTTAGTCCAAGAGATTTGGTCCCCACTTTTACAGGCAGCTAGGGTGAAACTGAATTTTGATGGTGTAAAATCCCTATTCGATTCTAGGTTAAAGTAGAGAAGAAGAAGAAGAAGAGAAAGAAGAAGAAGAGAAGAAGGAGGAGAAGGGTTCAGCCAGATTAGGAAAAATCAGTCCACCTCTAGCCGACCCACTTGTATTTATCTCCAATAACATAGTTACAAGAAAGACCATATTGCCCTCATAAGTGATGGGACACATATCTTAAATAAAATAGACCTTTCACTCTCAAATAGATAAACCCAAATGACCAAAATACCCCTGATTTGTGTATTCTAACACTCCCCCTCAAGCTGGAGAGTATATGTCATATAGTCCCAGCT